GCCTAGCTGCACTCATATGCCAAAATAAAGCATCGTAACATATCCCAACATACCATTCAGTAATCAAATCTCAATACCACTTGAGAACAAGCTTATAATAACAGTTGTTCTTAAGCTTTTTTTAGTAATATTAAAAAAATGTTGTTAAAATGTGAATTCACAAACAGTTTTCAACTATGCTTGAGAAACTATTGTTGTACACAAATGTTTCTCAAGTGTTGTTAAAGAAATCTGACTATTGAGAAAAAATTATTATTCTCAATAGTTTTTTAAATGTGAATTCACAAGCAATTCTCAACTATGCTTGAGAAACGATTGTTGTACACAATTGTTTCTCAAGTATAATTCAATCTGACGATTGAGAAAACCTTCTTATTCTCAATAGTTTTTTAATCGACGCTGTCGTTTGCCCACGCGTCAGCTATAAACTGGTACCGTTAGTTATTTTCATGGAATTTGTGTTGTTTTGTTTTGCCTGTATATTCATTGCAAAGTTTGTTAAGCGAGCGGACGGACGTGCATTTTCATGGAGTGATAAAAAGAAAAGTGTTAGAAATCTGTGCACAACAATGGCAATAAAAAGTAAGTAAAAAATTAAAAAAATACAAAATTTAAATACAATGTTATTAATATTTATAGGTGCAGCATTGTCTATTGGGATCACTGAAGACCTATTTATAAAGGACACCCGCACATTTTTTTCAATTTGCCAAAAATCGGGGCAAGCTTCGAGATATTTATAAATTGACAAAAAATCCAAATGAAATATGAAACTATTTTTTTACTATATTAACTATAATTTTTTTTTACTATAATTTTAACTTTAAGATGTGCAATACTTTTGGTTTGTTGGGATTGAACACAGCTATGCTTTTGAGCCGCACTTTCGCTCGAAATTGAACACACCATTTTGCACAACATGGGAATTTAAAAAATTATGGGAATTCAAAAACTTTTGGAACATGTCACATGGGCGATTAAAATAATATATATATATATATATATTTAAATTCTTCTTTTTCAGGTAATAGAGATTAGTATGCACCAGAATCAAATTAATAAAATCCCAACTTTCAGAATATAAATAAATACACGGTTGTTTTTTTTTTTCTTAATACTTTTTTTATTTATTTTTATTAATATTTTCTTTAATATGTATAATAATATTTTTATTTTTCCGTTTAAATTAAATTAAAATGTTTATGTTTTGTTGTTTTCTTTTTTGTTTTGTATTTTTTACATTTTTTAATGAATTGGTTTTACGTTTGTTGTTGTTTTTTGTATTGCGCTTTAAAGGGCTTGAGGAAATTATATAAATAGCTGTTTGTTACTATTTTTGTCATTATAATAATAATGGTTTTTGTTGATCGAGTTTATAATAAAGGAAAAATGTTGTAGATGAATGAATATTCAAGAGTTTCTTTTGTTTTTTTGATGATAAATTCTTCTGCAAATATTATTTGTTTTCTTTTTTCGCTTTATTTTTTGTTTTTTTTTTCTGTTTTTAATAATACAATTATGATGTTGTTTGTTGTTGTTTAATAATAATAATTATAATAAAGTATTATTTAATTAATAAAAAAATATAAAGAAAATACATTGATAAGAGTTGTTGTTTAATATTTTTTAAATAGCAAATAGTTCTAATATAGCCCATAAGAAGTAGAAGAAGAAAAAATATATAAACGATAAAAACTAATAACTAAATGTTAAAAAAAAATTACAATTTATATAGACATTTACATGGGTTTCAGGGGAGGTGAAATAGAAGTTACAGAAAATATATATAATTATAAACTAGAGTTAAAAAGTAAACGGGAAGAACTTTTGGATTTCGATAGGGAAAAAATTGAAAACGGGAGTTGAAAATAATCACTTTGTGTATTAAGAAAAAATAATAATAATTAATAGAAAATGTTTGTAAGATTAAAAAAATATATGCATTATTGTTAAATTAAAAAAACATAAGAAAATTAAATTTTCTTTAAAAATAATAACTCAAAAAATTAAAATAAAATTTGATAACAAAAAAATAAATGTAATTAAGTTTTGGGGGTTTGTTTTTAAATTAAATATCTATTTTGTATTGTATAAATAAAAGGGATATTTTGAATGAACAAAAAAGGAAGAAGAAGTTACTAAAAACAAAAGGAATTTTCATTTAAGATTTGTTTTCGAAATTTAAACCAAAAACTATATTTTTACAATAATTGTTTTTGTACTCAATAAATAAAAGTACATGAATTGGTTAACTATTTGTGTGTGTTTTTTATTTTTTCATAATGAAGGCCTCTTCCTTTTTCCTCTCTTCCGTTAGAAGTATTTATTTAAAGCTTAAGGGAAACATGGAAAACAAACTAACGAATAGAAAATAAATCGAATGTCAAACATCACTTGGGACCTTCTCATATACGGATATGGAGAATTGTGGAGAAGCCATACGCAATTGAAATCACATTTTAATTTAATGACAAAACCAAATCGTTTAGCCAAAATTCTAAACTTGACAGAAAAATTTACAAATTGTGCTCTGAGAACTCTAACTGCTTAGAACCAAAATTATTGGAAGCAAAGGAGCCTATAGATTAATTAATTTATTCAGCTCTTTTTTGCTTAAACTGTTTCAATTTGAGCGAAACTTTAAAAAGGTTCTAAATTTTACCATTGATCTCTTTCATGAAATATAAAAAAGAGAAATTTACAAAATGTGGTCTGAGTGATTCTTGCTGTTTAGAACCAATATTATTGCACGGGAAGGATTCTGTATTTTCATTCAAATATATTTCAGCTTTTCTTCAGCTCTTTTTTTATTAAAAAATTTCGATTGTTGTGAAACTCCAATTTTTTTTTTTTTAATTTGACAATCGAAATTTTTAAATAAATTTTCACAATTTCAGTGCGAGAGAAGCCAATGCTGTTGGAATATTCTGCAAATTTCGTTAAAATATCGGGGAACTCTTTCTAATCACTCCTGATGGATTTTATTTAAATGAGAAGTCGAGCATCATTTTCGATTTTTAGGACAAAATGTTCTGCAGTTGAAAAATGCAAAAGAATCACTATTTCCATTAAAATATTTTCCATATTATCGAGCCTTTCTTTGATTGAAATATTTCAGTTTTCGAAGATATATTCAATTCCCTTTTTTATGAACTAGTATCTGAAATGGACTTGTATTTGAAAAAATCACTATTTCTATTGAAATTTGTTCTTTTGACTGAAATATTTCAGTGTGTATTTTTCTAGTTTTCGACTTCTTCATTGGCTTCAAAAAGGGATTTTCAATTTCACTATTATTAATCCTTGTTAATAAATTATCAATTCCGCCAAAAACCCCCTATAGTGGTGTAGACAAATAAGCACACAAAAATAAATTCTGAAACATCATCATGTCGTCTTAACGATAATTGTTTGAAATTTGTAAAAATCAAAAACCCATTCCTATGATCATTAAGGGAAGAGAGAAAGCGAAAAAGGCCTTTTTTGGGTGCTCCATTTTGTAATGACACCATTATTTTTTTAGTTTTAATATCATTTTCATTTTTCAATATTTTACTTTCCATTTCTCTTTCATTTTTTGAATTTTTTGAGATTGTTTTGGATTTTCTTCTAAAAGAGTATCTCTTTTTTTAAATATTTTCTCTATCTCTGTTTGGTTTTTGCAAAAATTTGCGTTTTATCTTTCTGTTTTCTTTAATGAATGACTTGAGCTTTATGCGTTTTTTTTTAAGGGGAAAAATACTGTTAACCACTTGTTTCCCCTTTTGTTGCTTACTTGGGGAAGGGGGCGAGTTGTAGGGATAATGGTGGACTTTTTTGTTTATATAGAAAATATTTTACAAATATATGCTAAATATGTATATATAGTATATGATTTATATATTAAATCTTCTTCCTTTTTTTATAATTTTGTTTCACTTATATTGTTTAAATGTCGTTTTTCTTTAAATATTTATATATATTGCAACAAAAAACATTTACAAAGCTTTTCTTGGATTTGTTTTTTACTTTTTTACTCTCATTATAATATAATAGATATATAAGTGAGGGTATTGTATTGTATTTATGTATTATTATGATAAATGGGGTAGTGGAGTTGGAGGGGATTTACTTTTATTTGTATAGGGATTTGCAGATGTTCTTAATTAAATAAAAAAGTAATAATAATATATAAATACACAATTTAATTTCATTTCCTAAACGGCTAGTATCCAGTTTTTTTTTTGCGTACTACTCTCCTTTTTCACATAAATCCCATACAAAGTCTTTTTTAGTCACATAGAATACCAAGAAAAAAACTATTCCCCATATTTTGCTTAGATACCACACAAAAGTTATAGGTTTTTGGGATTGTTTAAACAAAATTTGTTTTGTCATTAGATTATCACTGGTGTTTGGGTTGTTATTGTTTTAGTGGTTGTGTAGAAAAAAACGAATCGATTCTCTAGAAAATCAAAAAGTTAAGTTCCATAAAAAATATTTTGCCTGGTTTTTTCTCTTGTACTAAATACAAGTTCTGTTTGTTGAACTAATTTACATAATTTAAAATTTAAATTAGCAAAATATTTTCTTTTTGTTATTGTTTGTTGTTGTGTATACCATATGAATGTCTTATTTGCAGCCTATAAATATGACTTTTTTGTTTGTGGTATGTTTTTGTTAACATTCTGGTTACCAAACTCCTTTTTTTGATTTCATTTCAATTTCCTTTTTTTTCTCACAACATAACAATTCATTTTCTTGCATTAATACTTATAACTTCTTGTTGTTCTTGTCTTTTTTGTGTCTATAAGCATTTGCTATTGTTTTGTTGTTCTTTAGAGTTATTTTTTAGACTATATATCATCATTTCGTTTTCTTCTTTTTTAAGTTGTAATCATTTTGTCTAATCTATAAACTCGTGCTAGGCTGAGGCTTTGTTGATTTCATTAAAAACTGGAAAATAAATATTACAACACAGGAGGGGGATGTGTTTCATATATATAGGATTTTCCGTTTTCTGATTTAATTTTTTTCGTCATCTTTTAGATTTATCGCACACGTGGAATAGTTCTGGAAGAAAGAGAGAAAATAATAATAAAGATTAATAAGAAATTTTGATAGAAATATTTCACTAAATATTGGATTCAATGAGATTTTCAAATGTGACAATAGATTAGTAGAGATAAATTGTAGCAATAAATTGAAATTCATGTTGATTAGGGGGTTAAAAATAACAAATAACAAAATAGGTTGAATTTAAAAACAAGATTTTTTAAAACATATTTTTTATGCCCTTTTAAAGACTTGGTCTGTTAAAGCGTGGATTTTTTAAAAAAATATTTTAAATGCCCTGTTATAGACTTGGTCTGTTATAAGCGTGGATTTTTTAAAAAATATTTTTTATGCTCTATTATTATAGGGGAGGATTTTTTAAAAAATATTTTTGTTATGCTCTATTACTATAGGGGTGGATTTTTTAAAAAATATTATTTATGCCCTTTTATAGACTTGGTCTGTTATAAGCGTGGATTTTTTAAAAAATATTTTTTATGCCCTGTTATAGACTTGGTCTGTCATAAGCGTGGATTTGTTTAAAAAATATTTTTTATGCCCTGTTATAGACTTGGTCTGTCATAAGCGTGGATTTTTTTAAAAAATATTTTTTATGCCCTGTTATAGACTTGGTCTGTCATAAGCGTGGATTTTTTTAAAAAATATTTTTTATTCTCTATTATTAAAGGCCTGGATTTTTTAAAAAATATTGGTTATGCCCTGTTATAACCTTGGTCTCTTATAAGCGAGGATTTTTCTTAATCATGAGAAAGAGGATTTTATCCTCTGAGAAGCCGAAATCCAAAATTACGTGCAAAAGTGTTGGAATATGCAGCTATGAACATCAAAAAATTTTTCAGTTCGATAAATGGAGGCTATCTCAAAACAAATACCGATTTTGATATTCAAACATGACATGACAGCCCCTTCGGTGGTAAAATACCTAGAATAGGGACCTTTATTAGGGGGGATATATTTTCAAATTACAGACATTTTGATTTAATAAATTTGACCGAATGCCGAAAATAATACGGCACTACTATGTGGAGTTCAAGCTATTTGCAAAGGTTTATTGAATTTTGCTAACTGTAATAAAATATTAAATGAAAATCTCATTAAACCCAATATTCAAATATTTAAAACCCCCTATTACCTTGGTGATTGCACTCTTTTCTTGGGAGTATTCGGAGCTGTAACAGCTACTCTTGAGTTGGGTGTACGGGCCCTTGACGCCGAACCGCCGCTGATGCTGCCTGGTGTTGTGGGTGTTGATGGTGATGATACCGTTGCAGCGGCTCCGCCACTTGTTGCCGATGAGGGAGGTGTTGATGTCATGCTGTAACGTTTCGGTGGCTGTAGACGTGATGGTGAACGTGTTGTCTTTGTGGGATCCGCTTGATTTGTTATTCTAGCAATTTGTGGAGAAATACGTGGAGGTTTAGGTATTTTAGTATTTACAGTGACATTTTTATTATGAATTGTTGTTGTAGTAGGAGTACTAGTTGTTGTTGTATTATTATCAGTCATTGTTGTATGATGATTATCTTTATGATATATATCAGTTCTTCTACAGAGTTTACGTTTTATACATTTTACAGATGTGTATGTATGTTGAGTATTGTATATATAGAGTAATCAAAAAACAACATGCAATTGTTTTATGTTGAATTGTGATGATTGATACATGTGGAGGAATACACAATACATTACAAACCAAAATTATCCACGTTTTTATATATATTTACATAAATTTAAATAAAAATTATAATATAACCCAAAAATCAGGATTACAGGCATTGTGTTGTTGTTGAGGGGTAGGTAGGATCAAAAAGGTGCGTTGGGTAGATAGGTAGATTTTTTTGAAATATACATGAAAATAAAAATAATAAGAAAAAAAAAATAAATAAATTAGCAAAAACAATAATACCAAATTCTAGTTAATTATAATTTAATATTAAAAAAAAAACAGCATACAATAAAGTGAAAAATATGGGAAGATATTTATCAAATTAAATAATTTTTATTAACACACACCAAAACCAAATGTATTTCTTTCACTAAAGAGTAATTTTTAGCTTGCATTCCTTCCAGGTTTTCTCAATAAGTACACAATGCAACACACCAAAAATATGGCATACTTTCAGGCGCATACTTGTTTAGTTAATTAAAAAATCCTTCCATTATTTTTCACTTGCTGTTAGCTTTATTTCTAAACTACTACCAATTAATTTACATACTACATTCAAATTGTGTGTGTACACAATTTCAAAACCAGTACAAATTTCCAAAAATATGCAAGAAAATTATTTAAAATTTCTACTTACTTGCCAGCTGGATAGCTCACAGGACGAGGTATACGTGATTTTGTGGCTGCCGCTGCTGCAGCATTAGCTGCTGCTTGAGCTGATGTGGGTGTTGAGCCACCACTTTTTGTTTGTTCCTCATTAGCTAATTCTTTGAGCATACTCGAATCTTTGCTTATCAGTTCCCATTGGATTTGTAGACGTTTAAAGCGATTACTTTCCGATTTACGTTTCTCTTGCTCATCGCGTTGCGAGCAACGACGTGGGGCAGCAGCAACCGTGCCGGTGGTGGTTTGTTGTGTCGTCGCTGTCGACTGTAAACGTAATGCAGCTGGATTTTGTGGGCCTGCACCGCCATTTGTTGCCATTGAAATATTCGGTGAATTGGGTGGGGTTGAAAACCTTTGCCTCGCCTCTGGTGGCTGCATTTGCATTGCATTCGCTGCTGCATTCTGCTCTTGTGCCTCCTTATCGTTAAACGAGACTTTCTTCTGTTGGCTCAAAGCCCTTGATACCTCCTTCTTTAAGGCAGCTGCATCATATTGAATTTCAGGTTCGGAAGACTCTAATATTGCTGCAATCTCGGCATAATACTTAAGCTCATTACGTGGCAAGGATGAGAGGAAATTCTCAGCTCGTACACGGGCATCCAAATCTTTGCGTGACAGACGTTCACTGCGTGGTTGTGGACTGGCATACAGCTCACAACCGGGTGTCTCTTCTTCAAAGACCTCGGCCAATTCCTCCGCCGAACCAATTGCATAGTGATTTGGTGGTTCTTGCAAAGATCGCCTCTTCTCCAGCTTAGCCTGCTTTGAATCTTGTTCAATCATGGAATTACGCTTATTTCTCACCGCCGAAGAACTCTTGCGTAGAATACCTCTTGGCATTGGTACTGGTGTTGATTGCACTTTGGGACTCATTTCCACTCCGGAGTCCATACGCTGCTGTTCATACTGATAGACATACATTTGCTTCAGATTATCACCACTACCCGAACTGGCATCGAATTCCGAATCGGTTAGCATTGTGGATGAACCACGATAACCCGACGAGGGCTGTTGACTAGAACCGGAACTGGATGAAGCACCACCAGCTGTGGCCTCTGTTGCCTGCGGCTGCTCACGCTGGAAGTATTGATTGCAATCGCAAATGTGTGGTCGATTACGTCTGACGGGCGGAGTTAAACAGAACAGAGGCTTCTGTGCTAATTCAGATTCTAATTGGCTGAGAATTCCGTCAACTTGTGGAATGTGTTTTAGTCTACGCCTGTAATCACCCGGCAACAGGGTAACCAACGAATGCCAGTCTTGTATGTGCTTGTAGTCCATTGTCTTGAGTATTTCGTCTTCGTCGCTGCCAGCCATGAGGCTGAAACGTTTCTTCAGCGAAGCACATGAGGATGTGGCGCTGCCAATGGAGTTCTTATAGTTGAAGGGTGAGAAAATGACGTCGGGTGTGGCTGAGGTCTTGACGAAACCCAAATCGGGCAGCGCGTAGTTGGGATAGATCACATAGATGGGAGCTTGCCGTTCCTCGCCCAAATTATTGAGTTTCTCCAAAAAGGAGGGTGGCACACAACGGAAACGATCACTTAAGCTGCTACGGGTACTCAGGCTGCCGCAGGACGTTTGCATGGAACGTGTTATCATTTCCGAGCTGGATGCATTCGAAATGGGCCGGGATGCATCACGACTTCTACGCTGTTTGTTGCGCTCAGCTTTGGCAGATGATGAGGCTGATGACGATGAGGCTTCTTGGCCGGACGACAAATGGATTTGGGTCATTTGTTCCGAGGTATTATCCGATGATAAGAGACTAGCAGTGGAGTTGTTGTTGTTACCGGAATTATGATGTTGAGTTGCCAAATGGTTAAGAGCGGGATTGCGCAAGGGCATGCTGCGTCTGCGGTGTGCTGGTGAATTTGTGGCTGTCAACGAACCCGTTGAACTGCTACTGGGCTCCTCATCATAGAACAGCGATGAACGCCGCTGCTGTTGTTGTTTCTTGGGTGTAGACGATGAGGCATCCATTTGGAATGTTAAAGCTGAGGCATCAGCCACCTCCTCCTCATCGTGTCTACTAAGGGCGGAACCTTTACCCGAATCGTTCATGCTCTTCTTACGCAGCCGTTGTTCCAGTGATGAACTTGTGCTAGAATTGGCGGCATCACTGGATGGCCAGCAGCCCGATGAGACATCCATACAGGTGTGAGCACTGGGTTGATCTTCCAAAGAGCAATTTGTGCTTTTCTGTTTGATAAACAATTTGACTAGATTGAATGCTGGTGGGTTGGATGAACCCGACGATGTAGAACCTGAAATGTGAGCCTTGTTCGAGTGATGAGATGTCAGAGTGGTAGAACCATTGTTACTGGCCATGGAGGTGGAGTGATTGCTGGCATTAACAGCGCCACCACCACCACTGCTGTGGCTGCTGCTACCGCCACAACAACATCGGTGTTTGTTGTTGTGTTTCTGGTGGTGGTGATGATGATGATGCGAAGAACCACTGGACTGTTGCTGTTGCGCTAAATCATTTAGACGCTCATCAATCGAAGCGGCTGTCGAATTGGCTGTAATGGGTATCTGGCACATGGGCAATAAATTGCGACACTTTAAATTTGCCTCCATATTTGAGGTTGTTATCGCCTGTGATACATTCAAGGGCTGTTTCACCTCCAGCTGCTGTTGAGGATGAATTTGCGTCTGACTTAAAATCATTACCTCCTGAGTGCCGTCACGTAAATTGGGCAAACTACTGCTTTTGCGTACTCCACCCGTTAGGGCATTGGTCAGCTGCTGTAATGCCGGTCGGCTAATGATAATGGCATCGGGTGCATTATTATTGTTACCCGATGGATATCTACGCGCAGGAGAAGAAAGTAAAGCATAGAGACTTTTTAGGATGAAGTTAATATACCATATCGAAAATGGGATTAACATCGATTACATCGTAAGTGTGTTTTGTGTTTTGGGGTTTGGTTGATTGGGAAACACAATTATGTTGGAGGAGGGAGTAACGATATTTTTGTTCGATTTGATTGTTGGTTCGTTGGTTTTTGTTGGAAGGAAGAAAAAAAGAAACAAATAAAAAATAAGATTAAAATTTATGTTTTTATAAGTGGTGTTAGTAAAATAAAAATGTGGTTGTTAAAACTAGGTGCAAAAGCCGAAATAAACAAAGCATTTTGAACAAGAGAGCGGAGAAGCAAGCAAGTATGTATTGAAATTGATACTCAGGCGTATTAAAATATATTTTAAATTAAAAATAAAGTTTTTACAAACACGAAACCCCACAGCTTTGTATATTTTGTGAAATAAATATAGGTGACAGAAAATTAAGCAATTTTTAAACAAGCCCCTTCCGAAATTCGATTTCCTATTAATTAAAGTTTTTGTTGTTATATCTTGTTGCTATTCAAAATTCATTCATTTTTTTTTTAATTTATGGCATTCCATTTACCACAAAAAATCTAAAATATTTAAATTTCAATTTAGTGGATAATTTTTGTTCGTGTTTATTTCAATTTAAAAAATTGCCAGCAACCATAAAATCCCAAGCATTGTTCCAGCTCATCCAATAAAAGTTGCTGATGAATGAGAATACGAAAAAACAGCAACAACAAAATAAATACATTTAAATTAAAGACAATTGAAATGACCTCTCATCAACGGCAGCAACGAATACTTATACATTTGTATTTGGCTGATAAAACTAAATTCATTTATACAAAAAATACTTTTACTTTGACTCTTTTTATTATGATTTGAAATATATTCAAACGGAAATTAAGTGCATAGACGTCATATATAAACCTGATGACGATGACTCAAAAATGTCTTTGTTTATTTTCTCAAAAAAGAAAAAACAAAAAGCAATTAACAGAAATAAATTCATTCAATATCTAGTTTGAAATGAAAACGGAAATTCAAAAGAAAGAAAATGCAAATAATAAATTTAGAAATGAACAATTCCAAAATTGGAAAGGTTGCCAGTCAGACAAATAGGTTAGGTAGGCGTAGGAGTGATTATGTCTTACTGTGTTTGCTTTGCATAGCTTGTTGGTGTTTTTTGGGGTTTCTTCTACTTCGACTTACCTTTGCAATTGTGTTGTATGTGACTTTTGTAATTTGTTGCGCATATTATTACAAGGCTGTGGCTGTTCTGACCTTGACATCGACACCTCCAGAGATTTACGTTGGACAATATCATCTAAATTGCTATGCAAATTAATGCAATTCTGTTTGTTCTTCATGGCAATTTCATTGGGTTCTGGAAGAAGGGAAAGGAAACAATTAATAAAACATTTTCAAGGGGGATATAATTTGGAAATAGAGTTCGATTAATAAATTTGAAAAAAAATGGTTTAATCGATAATATATCAATTCTATAGATGGAAAACATATTTGTAGAGATGGAAGTGACCTCAAAGGGATAGATGACATGCTATAAAGAATATTTATTCCTTAAATGCTAGGTTATGTTAGGGATTTACGACTGCTGATTGCACCGTTCACTGAGAGACATTTGTCCATTGCGATCTTTTTTTACGGGTTAAAACAGACCTCCTCTGGGTTTAAAAACCTCTTCTATAAATAGAAAACCTCGTCTGAGAAGAACTTAGCTTAGATGATATTGTCTATGGATAGAATATCTGTTCTATAAATTTAAATATTTTACTTTTTAAAATAGAAGGGTGCTTAGGGTTTCTATTATTAATACGAGGTTGCTCAAGACCTCTTCTATGGATAGGGCACCTATTGTGTGGATAGAAAACCTCTTCTACAAATATGAAAACATATTCGATGGAAAAGGGATAAAAAGACTTCTCTAAGTACAAAATACATCCTCTAGGTTTACTGTTGAGGTAGTTGAAAACTTCTTCTGTGCAAGACCTCTTCTATGGATGGAGTACTTATTTTATAAATAGGAAACCTCTTCCCCGAATAACAAATCCTTAGTGTACGGATAGGAAATCTCTTTTAGGGATACATTTTCTTTCTGCTTTAAATAGGATGTTCTTGAAAACATCTTCTGTGGATAAAGGACCTTATTCATGGATAAATCTATTCGAAAACCTCTTCTACGGATAAAAAGACTCCTGAGAGGGATAGGAGACCTCTTGTTTGTAGATTGAAGATAGATTGAAGCCTTATTATAAGGATATAGGTGTGTTTTTCAGAAGACCAAATTTTTAAAAAGTAGATCAGCTATAGAATGATAGATTTTAATAATAGAGGGGTTCTTGTTGGGGCTTTCGAATACACCCTTCTTGGATTGAACACATCTTTTAAGGATTTTGTACCCTTCCTATTAGAAGAAGACCTCTTTTGGGATAGTAGATGTTTTATTTTAGGTTGAAGCCTTCTCTAAGAATAGAGGGGTAATTTTAAACCTATTGCTTAAATAGAAGACTTTTCGAAAGATTGAAGACCTTAATAGAGTTTTTTATATGGACGGAGTATCTTTACTATGAAATGAAGTATTCTAAGAATAGAATGGTTCTTTCTGGTGTTTATATTATAATTAAGAGGCTGATGAGCCATCTATTATCTATGAAATATTTAGGGTTTCAATTAATATTGGGTCTTCTTAAAGATTGAAGACATTTGGGTTTTCTTCTATAGTATAATACCATTGCGTCTTCCATTATATAGAAGTGCTCTGACTCCAATACTCAGGATATTCTATAAAAATTGCAAATTAAAATATTTTTCGAACTCTATTTTCAAAATGTGCTTTTGTTGTGTACTTACCATAAAAACTTTCATCGGAATACAGGACACTACCCTCAAAGGCAATTGTATAATTATCTTTGTTTGCCTTACATGTCAAGATAATATCTCCATCATCCGGATACCCATCCATATCTAAAGAATCCACCGAAATGTGCGATTCTTTGACGGGTGAAAATAACAATTCCGATTTACAAAATGAATTATCGATCAAATCATTTGTCGATGTCGTCGATGTCTGTGACATTGTTTGAGCTGCTGCCATTTGTTGGAGTTGTTGTGCCGTCAAATTTTGTTGTGAGGGCAACAAATGTTGTTGCTGCTGTTGTTGTTGCATCAGCAACGACTGTTGTAAACGATTACCACCTAAACTCTTACAATATGAGGGTAATTGTGAGAGTAGCGAGTGGATATCTTCGGCGCGAAAACTTTCCATATCGACTTCGGCTAGATTGGCATCGAGGTTTTTGGCCAAATCTTCATAGATCAGGTCGCCAAGACCATTGTACGAGGCCGACAATGAGGAGAGTACACTGCGTTGCATGCCACCGCAGCCATCTCTGTAGCCGTAGTCCAAGAACCACTGGTAATCAGAATTATCATGAGTAAAATCGTGGGACGAAGCCAAAGAACAAGTTAAATTGTTGCCCATATAAGCAGTACCGACACCCACACCACCACCACCACTACAAGCATTGTTTAAACCACTACTAACGTTGTTATGCGTATAACCTACCAAATGTTGTTGGGCCTGTTGGGGCAACATGTTGCTGGCCGTTGAGTCATAGGGCGGCAGCATGTTGTTGCTGCGAGATCCAGGGGTTGTGGCATTACTGTTGTAATCCGATTCGGGAGTTATTGCCGTTGCCATATTGTTTGTGTGTTGCTGCTGTTGCTGATTGTTGTTGCCACAATTGAGAAAATTCAAATCAGCCTCGTCATAAAATACCGAAGAAGAACTGTCGCTGGTCGTATTGACCTGCTCATTCAAAATGATGCTACGCAAAGCGTTATTGTAACGATCCAAATTGCTCAGAACAATGGCCACATTCTGTTTTAGACTCTCCTCGCTCAGTTCCTCGTCGGTGGCACTGGCGTCTTTGTTTAGCAACAATTGTTGTTGTTGCTGTTGCAAGTGTTGCTGCTGCGACAGGAGATCGTTGAGATGTTGCTGATATTGGGTGTGCGTAAGGAAGGGCAATTTACGTCGCTGCTGTAGCAGATGTTGTTGGCCGCAAGTAATGCCGGCCGTGACGTTGCTGCCACCGCCGAAAGGTGAATTTTGTGGTGAGTTAAAGGGTTTGCGATAATGCGTTGGGGAATGTGTTACTGATGATCCGTTCGATGAGGGTGAACGTAGCACGTCATTCAATTTGTTGTTGATATTTGCAGAAGAATTTGTTGTTGCTGTCGTCGTCGAATGATTATTTTTACAATTATTGATGAGTTGTTGTTTTAATGTTTGGGTGAATTGTTTGTTAAATTGTGCATTGAATGTGGTGTTGTGTGTGTTATTTTGATGTTGTTGTGTGGTGAAATTTGTGGTATGATTATTAGTTGCAGATGATGGCGATAAGTGATGTTGCTGCTGTGCGCCAGCTGATGGGTACGCTAGATAATGATGGCGTGGTGAATTTTGAAGCGGTTGAGATGATAAATGATGAGATTTATTGTTGATGTCGTTGCTTGTAGAGAATTCTGTCATGCCACGATAGGGTTTTTGTCCTGTAAAGAAAAAAAGAGAAGAAACCGATTAGAATAAAATGGAAATAAATAAAATTTAGAATATTTCAATTAATTACACTCTACATAAATGAAATCAGCAGCAACCAAGACCCTCTCACCCTCTCTTTAAGGCGTTTTATTAAAATAAATTAATTTCAATTAATTTTTTTACAACTTTCACTTTCTACAACAAAATATAAATGGGCTGAATAAAAGAACAAAACACATACACACACAAACAAAAAAAAATATTGAAATTAAAGTGCAACGATCGCCGGCCACTGCTGAAACGACCACATGTAGAAGAAGAGTCATTTAAAAATAACAGAAAAAATTATCAGATGAAAAGAAGAATGATCAGCAGATCTAGTGTTCAGAATAAAGGGCATCAATAGTGTTGGCGGCGGAGACTTCTAGACACCAACATCTACCACATTGTCATTTAGAAAAGAGAGAGTGAGAACAACAAAAAACATAAAACGACTAATACAAATACAAAATAAAGTGGAATGACACACTTGAGAGTCTGTAAATAACAAAAAATACCGCTCAGCTACGCCCGCCTTGCCTTGCAGCATAGGCGTGAAAATAAGCATAAAAACTATGGCCCACAAAGTCGGAAAGAAATAAAGTAGCGATGCATGAATGAATGAGTCGACCGACCAATCGACCGGCAGACTAAGTGACTGACAGGCTGACTGAATGAATTCACATATTAAACAAACGATGACAAATTTTTATTGAGTTGCAGACAGACACCAAAATATGTTCGTTCGTTTGGTTTTTTTATAGTGCAGCTACAAAACTGAATATATTTTTTACAGCTTCGTGAAATATTTACGAAAATTTAAATTAAGTCTAGAGAAATAAAAAGTAAATTTGTTAGTGGCAGTAGTGAATGATTTTGTTGCAAAGTCATTAAAATATAATATGATCTGTTTTTATGGCCTATTAATGATGATAATAATACCCCGTTATGGTATTTAATTTAGTTAATAGTGCCGCCGTTGATGACAGATAAGCTCGGGAGGTATAGAAATTTTTTGGAGAACAAGAACGTGAGATATTGTAGTTTAAAATTAATATAAACGCATGGATAAAAAATTATAAACCATAAAATTGAAATCAAAATTGACCTTGTGGGTCATCTAGAGAATAAAATAAATATACCAAGCTTGTTCAGGACGCACAGTACTTTTTGTTTTGAAAGTGTTTTTTTTCAGGTGTATCTATTTTGTTATATATCCGATCTGATTCAGGTGCTTTGATGCCGAGACCAGTCATTTTTGAACGTGATCCTCCACGACAAAAAGGCATATCAATTAGAACACTTCGTTCTTGAAATAGAAGTCCACTGAATCGCCGTTGAAAAAAAAAAGATGTATTGGGTCTGTAAATATTTTTGAGCAGGCTATAATAGGGAATAGGGTAATACATACAAAACAAACTTTAGAATTTCCTAAACAGGATCACTTGGTATATACAGGAAATATATCCTGTTTTAAAATATACGACCTATTTGATATTTCGCATATGAAAATAGCTATATAGATTTTTATAGAATAAAATATTTCCCAATAGGTACTTAAAGTTCTAAAAAATTGCTATCGAAGTGCGTGACCGCAACTTTGAGAAGACCTCGTCTAGAGATAAAAAAAAAAACTAATGTGAGTATAAAAGACCACTTTTACGAATAGAAAACCTCTCGTGTGAACAACATTGCTCTTTCCGGCGTTTCCAATAGATACATACGATTTTCATCATTAAAAAGCTGAAGAAAGAACACCGTCTCAAAATTATAAATATTTGCTAACGAAATTCCAAGTCGGTAATCGCTATTATAAGAAGAAATATTTTTACAGAATAAAATTTTTCCCAATAGGTACTTGAAGTTAAAAATCGGCACGTCTAGATGTAGTAGAAAAACTCTTAAAACCTTAAACACTTCCATGGTTGGTATACCTTTACCATGGATGGAAGACCCTTCCTTCTTTCCAATAGGGTCAGGAATTGTTCATCAAAATAATAACAAATTTCTTGTCTAAGTTCGAATATGACGACCGCTACTTACAGAAGACCACGCTTAGGGATGAAACAAAATGACTAAGATAGAAGACCTCTTCTACGAACATAAATCCACTTCTGTAAAGAAAATAGCTCTTCCGTGATAAAACACATCTGCCGTGCCATCCTGGTCCATTGTATAAAATTATAGGACCCTTTAATTTTTTCATAAAATATAAGAACTGTTTTTAGAAGACAACTTAGTTTTCTATAAATTGCAGACCTCTCAGTGTACTTATAAATCGAAGAACTTCAAAGACTACCATACAATTTTAGATCATGAGATTCTTCAAATTTCTTTAGAATAGAGAATCTTTAATTGCCCTAAGTGGCATTGAATTTCATTCCCATAATTTTTTCAAGTGTAAAAGATTCTTCATTTTTTATTACAGTGTATAACATTTATAGCTCTCCAATAATAAAAATGAAAAGAAAACTTCAAATATGTCCAAAAATTAAACTTTTATGTAAAACATATGCAAAGCATATTTCATTCTTAGAGGAGATGATCCATGCATCATCAAAAGCACAATTTGGTCTCCCCAAAAGAAATAATTTCAAGTTAGGATCCGTTTGCTCTATTTTGAAACAGCAAGTTGTAGCACTTGATAATTAACACTTGTCATGACACTAGCTCCCCCTCAAAACAAAACAGACATCATACTACATGTAATCCCCATCCTCCTCTCCCCTCTTAAAAAAACACTACAAACATAAATATACAAGATTTTGAATTATAAGCATATTTAAGATTCTTTCCATACATATTGGGGGCAATTTGAGTGGCAGTTTATGTTTTCAAAAAGAGAAAGAACAACAAAATTTAGAACCTACACACACTTGATTCCATGATGCCTTCAACGCACACATACACACACAGTTTACCCCAAAAACTATTTGTAATCGAAGTCATGTCGAATTCAATGAAACAAAACCAAAAAATAAATATGTATTTAAATTTAATGATAAAAGCATTTGGTTGTTTTTTTTTCGAAATATTCCTAAGCACCAAAGGGGCAGTAGTGGGAATACTAGGGAAAAAATAAAAGTTTTCAAAGTTTTATTTCATAAGAAACAAATAAAACCAAAAATCCCAAATGTTTTGAAGGGCAAATGTTAAACGGCAAAGGGGAGATAAAACGGGGTGCATACAAAAATACAAGCCAGCTAATAATGAAATATTGCATTTGGTGTAGAGGCAATTACGATAAGAGGGGGAAGAAACAAAGAGACTTTTGAATTTACGGCTCCCTAATTTTTGTTTTCTCAAAATTTGGTATACTCATGATCATGTACATAAACTTGCCGGGAAGAAGTGCCATAAAAAGTCCATGAAAAATCAATATTTTTGTATGGGACGAGCTTTCCATTTTTTCTTCTTTGGATTCCATATCCGCGATTGACCAGTTTTTTTTTTAAATTATTTTTTCTATAGGAATTAATTGATTTTTCCTCAGCATCTGCATCTTTTATGTTTTTATTCTGTTCTTTAAAATTTCTTCACTTTCCTTACTCAATTAAAGAATTTCCGTTTGTCATTTAAAAAATTAAATGCCCTCATCTCTATGGGTAAGTGTGTACGTCGTAATCATATCCGGTCAATGTCACATAGATGGAGTGTGTGCGATACCCTTTTGTGTAAGCAAAGCAAAAAAATGAACTCTTTATAAAATATTTTTTAAATAATTTCTTAAGAATACTTTATTCTTAAATATCAAGTACTTTAAAAACAAGTTTATAAGGTTTAGCATTACATGGATACATTGCAACCCTCCTCCTCATTATACACCATCCCTCACTGGGTACCAAGTGGAAGGCTTTAAGATTCTCAACATTGTTGTTGTTGTCTCTCATATTTATGTTTATTACATCTTGGGACCTCTTACACCCTCAACACTCTCCCCGGTATCTGAGGCCTTTGTAAAAATATGCGTGTAAAAGAAAAAAAATTGGCTGGTGGTAAGGAAAATATATAAAATAATATTATAATAAAGAGTGGAAGTGAACACTTATGTATGTATATGACAATGTCTGTGACAGTTCAGTTTTTTTTCTCTTTCTTTTTGATGGCTTATGTCTGAGCCAGAACTAGTGGCAGGCCTTTGAGAGAAATATATTTACGCACTTTACAAAAAGGAAAAAATAAAGCTACGTTGTTGAATTAAAATTAAATAAAACCTAAATTAGTCTTTGAATAAAATACTTAAAAAATCTACGCCTTAAAATAGCCTTTGAATAAAATACTTAAAAAATCTACGCCTTAAAATAGTCTTTGAATAAAATACTTAAAAAAATCTACGCCTTAAAATAGTCTTTGAATAAAATACTTTAAAAATCTACGCCTTAAAATAGTCTTTGAATAAACTACTTAAAAAAATCTACGCCTTAAAATAGTTTTTGAATAAAATACTGAAAAAATCTAAGCCTTGAAAATACTTTAAAAAATCTACGCCTAAAGATAGTCTTTGAAAAAAATATTTTAAAAAGTCTTCTCCAAAAGGTAATCGTTGAAAAATATTTTAAAATATCTACGCCTAAAAATAGTCTCTGGAAAATATTTTAAAATATCTACGCCTAAAGGTAGACCCTTGAAAAATATAGTCTTCGGAAAATATTTTAAAATATCTACGTGAGTTATTTATACTCTTTCGAGTCGAGGTTAATGATCTAATTTTTGAAATGAAAAGGAAAGCCAGGAGAAGAATCTACGTACCCATCATTATGCGAAGCGTTTTGCCGTTGGTTAAGCGGCTCATCAGGCATATTGGGCTATGTGGCTTTACAAAGGTCGTATGTTGATAACTTGTATTTATTTCACCCTGATGCGAAACTTGCATATGCGAATTAAATTCAAATTTGTCAAGGTTCGACATTTGTCTTCATTCTAGAAACAGTCCTTTTAAAAGAACATTTTTCAAATGATCACTGCCCTTACAAGGCAAAATTCAAATAACAAATATGTACGCCAAAAGGTAGACGCTTGAAAAAATATTAAAAAAAAATCTACGACATAAGGTTGTATTTGAAAAAAAAAAAATATTAAAAAAAACTAAGCCTTAAGGTAGACATCTACTCCTATAGGTAATCATTGAAAATATTTTTAAAAAACTTACACCTAGAAATGGTTTTTGGATCACTCACAACCTTAATTATTAGGAGGGATGGAAGCTCACTCCTTGAAAAAAAAAAACAATTAATATTCTGGGAGAATTAATTTGTGAATAAAAAAGGTCGAAATTAAATAATTTACCCTAAGAATAAATTTATCACTTGTTATTTGTTTATATAGTTTTCTTATTCCACTGTTTTACACTGTATGACAGTTTATTTTATTTATTTTTCGTTTGCAATTTTTGTTTACTTATTTAAACAAATAAACAGCTGCAACAGCTGTGGGCTGCTATAATGAAATACACATATTGTTGTAACCCACATTATTTTCTTGAATAAATAAATTGTTTTTAATTCCGTGTATATATATTACAGTCAGATAATTATATGCGCATACGTCAATATATGCAAGTATAATGGCAACACTAAGCGAACAAGCTTTAAAATATTGAAAATTTGGGGGAGAATATCCCAACAAAAAACTAAGGGAACTGATGAGGATCAGTGGCGTGATCTGAAACTATAGTCTTCCCTGCCTTACCCCTCGGCAAACAATGTCATACATTTCCCACAAATAAATTGTTTTTTTTTTTATAAAAACAACAAACTGGGATTCAGCCTGACTATTTTGCAAAAACGAAAATTATTATATTTTAATGAAAAAACTCTTAAACAATTACAACTCCACCTTAATATGACATTCAATGTCATTAGCAACATGTTGCGTTAATCTACACCACTTAATAATTCTCATTGACATCATATTAATAATGCAATATTAAAGAGAGAAAATGGCAGTTGCGTTCGGACAGAAAATTCGTTATAGAGATATTATTTGCTTTTTATACAATTTGTTATAGAGTAGTTTCTTTATAGGATGTTCTGCGTATTTATAACTATCATTTGTTTTCAAATGAAAATATGATTTCACTTTTATTATTTTAGTTCCAGTCATTGAATATATATTTCCCTATTTTACCAATTTTTTCATTAACAATATATATTTTTTGTGTTTCATAAGACATCCAAATGTCATCCGGTTCATTAAGACATCGTAGTATTACTTTTTATAACTTGTCGTATATCTTTCATTTCAAAAATTGAAAATAAAAATACAAAATAATATATAAACTTTTCATGATGCACATGCACAAAATATACATTATTCTAATTATTTCTCATTTGCTTCTAAAATAAAAACTCACAAATAATAATATTCGAATGAAATTTTGGCTAAAACCCAAGAAATAATACCATACCACCCAACAAAAATATAGATGCGTTGTTGCTGCTATTTGTTGTTCTCTAGCCATCATCGAAATTGTGTTGGCTCGTTAAATTCAAGGTGAATATGCAATTTTTGTTTCAGTTTGCAGTTTACACTTTTTGCCTAATTTTCACTAGTGGTGATAATCAAAAAAAGAAGAAAATTTTGATGTTGATTTTCGATGTGTGTTTATTGGGGGTTAATTTTCTATTCGGGAGTCTAAAGTCCAAAGTCTATATTTACAAGAAGTAGACAATAAAAATTTTGTATTTTGAAAACAAAAATAAGGCCAATGTCATTGAGATTATTTGTGAGTTGTTATTTTGATGGTTAAGCGAACGTCTGAAAGGCGCCTTCCTGATTTTTTGGTATAGAGGGACATTTAATTACGAAAATTTTATATAAAAAAATATTGAAAAAAATCTACGCCTAAAGTAATTCAATGAAAAATATATAGGCCGTGAAATAAAAAATAAACGCCTAAATATAGTCATTGAAAAATATCTCAAAACAATTCAAAAAAGTCATTAGAAATATTTTAAAATATCTACGCCTAAAGATAGTCGTTAAAAAAATATTTTAAAACCAGTAAGGAAAGTAGTAAAGTCGGACTGGACCAACTGTATGATACCCTTCACCACTTTGGGTATGATGTACATATGTATCCTTACAATTGTATGTCAATGTTCCTTCGAAGGAACATACTCCTGTCTTCCTGCAACCTATGATAAATTTAATTTCATTCGGGCAGATCTAGAGTCTTCTGCGTATCATGGGACAAATTTATGGAAAACGATTTATAGAAAAATTTATACACGCTATTCGGTACGCCGCACTGTTAAAAATTTTATCTCAATCAGACACCCGCTCGAAATACATATGGAAGCTATGGCGGCATCTGGACTAATTTCAGCAAAATCCAATAACGTCATCCAAGTCTCAATTTGATATGTTGTCCAAAATTTCGTGTTAATTGGACAAACATTAGGAGTTTGGTGCACCATTTATGTAAAATCGGACGAAAATATATATGGGAGCTATATCTAAATCTGAACGGATCTTCACGAAACTTAGCACACATCATTCTAGACTCAATTCAGTACGTTATGTCAAATTACATTCCAATCGAAAAATATATTCGGTCATTGGTGCACCATTTACCAGAAATCGGGCGAAAATATATATGGGAGCTATATAAAAATCTGACCCGATTTCCTCCAAACTTGGCACACGTCATTCTAGACTCAATTCAGTACACTATGCAACATTTTGTGCAAATCGAAAGTTATATAGGGACTTCGATGCACCATTTACATCAAATCGGACAAAACTATATATGGGAGCTATATCTAAATCTGAACCGATTTTCTCGAAACTTGGCACACGTCATTCTTGACCTAATTCAGTACTTTATGCCAAATTTCGTGCAAATTGAAAGATATATAGGGAGTTTGGTGCCCCATTTACCATAAATCGGACGAAACTATACATGGGAGCTATATATAAATCTGAATCGATTTTCACGAAACTTAGCACACATCATTATTGACCCAATTCCGTGCCCTATGCCAAATTTCGTGCAATTCGAAAGATATATAGCGACTTTGGAGACCCATTTAGCTTAAATAGGACGAAAATATATATGGGAGCTAAACATCATTCTGGACCAAATTTAGTATTCAGTGCCAAATTTCGTGAAAATCGAAAGATATATAGGGACTTTGGTACTCTTTTAACCTTAAATCGGACGAAAATATATATGGAAGCTATATATAAATCTGAACCGATTTTTCCCAATTTCAATAGGTTTCGTCCTTGGGCCAAATAAGTGACTTGTGCCAAATTTCATCCAAATCGGAACATAAATGCGACCTGTATTTTGTTTACAATTTAACACGCCTAAAATAGTATTTAAAAATATATTTCTTAAAAAAATTAAAATATATAAATGTCTTAATTAAATTAAAAATTAATTCCCACCTTTAAAATTAATGGCATTAGATTGGCCATCATTGTATTGTTGTTGTAGATAATTATCATTACTGGCATTGTTGTTGTTGTTATTGTTATTATTTAAAATATCATTGATATTTTTATTATGGAACATGTAGTTATCAACTTGTTGTTGGGGTTTTTGTAAACGTTCTCGATGTTGTTTTTGTTGTAGCTCAGGTCTCATTACATGATAAAGTTGTTGTTGTTGACGCATTTGACGTAAATATTGTTGATTACATGTCAAAGCTGCGGAAGATGTAACAGCTTTTCCTGCCGCCTTTGGGCTGGAGGATATTTCAACTCCTTGCTCACGAAGTTGCTGTTGCAACCGCTTCCTTTGTATTAATTGTTGTTGTAACAATTGTAATTGTTGTTGTTGCAATTGATGATAGTAACGCAATTGTTGTAGTTGTTGTGGCGTTAAGGCAACATTTTGTAAATGTTGACCATTTTTGTTCTCTTTGGATGAAGAATTGGTGGAGGATGAGGCTGCACTATCACAGCCACTGCTGGTACTACTGGAGTTTGAATTGTTGTTATTGTGCGTGGAGGCTTTTCCACCACCGGCAACAATGTGTTGCCATTTTTGTTTGTGCGACATGTTGCTGTTGTTTGAATTGTTGTGGTTGTTGCTGTTGGCATTGCCGGTGTTACCGTTGTTGGTTAGCATAAATCGTTTGCCGTGCATTTTGGAAATGTCACTGATTTTCATGAGAAATGCCAAAATTATTAACAACATTTAGTTTAGGAACTGCTACTCCTACCACCGCTCACACTACTTGATCTCTCTCTTTCTCTCTCTATTTTGGTTAGGGGTTGTGTATCAAAGGATCAACTGTGGAACTATGTCAACATGTTGCTGGCAATAATGTTGCAAATGATCGAAGAAAATGTTGCAGCTTGTGGGCAACAAAAAAAATGTTGCTTTGTTGGTTTTGTGCGTTTTATTTTTAGAAATTTTTAAAATTTCTGGATTTTGTTTTATTTCTCGAGGGGTTCTTTTTTGGTGATGTAGGACCCATGCAAAGCTTTGTGTTGTTATTTTTATTTGGGGAAGACTTTTTATTTGGTTTTGTTGCTATGCACTTTTTTCCATTTGAGGGTGGAGAATGGGTTATTTAAAGTTTGGAATTTTTTTTTTTTTTGGTTGTTTGTTTGTTCTTGCTGTTTATATTTTTATAAAATTGAATTTTTCTTCAGTCTTTCAATATATTGTGTTTGTTGTTTGTAATACACTTTGTGTTTTCAATACATTTGGTTTATTCTTTTTTTGGGGGGTAAAGACTTGTCTAAAGAAAATAATAAATGAAATTAAATTTTGCTAGGAAAAAATACATGGAAAGCTTTAAATAGCTTTTCAAATGATTTTTCTTAAATATTTTGTATCCATTAATTATGAGAATCTCTCGGGTCACTCGTTTAAATACTGCAATGTTATTTTATAAATAGAAAATATTTATGGATAAATTTTCCATTTTTCTTATGCTAATGTATTCATTGTATAATTTTATTTTTCAATTTTCCTTTGGCCTAATCGCTTTTGAAATTAGCCTATAATTTGGCAAGCATATTTATGGCTTAACCCCCTTTTCATGTAAGACACTTTTTTTCTTCATTTTTAATTTTTTTCAATTTAAATTGTTAAAATTTATGGCCTTTTTGGTTCAAACAAAACCAATGTAAAGTGGAATAAAAAAACGCCAATTGTAGTGGAGCTCACACAAGTACATGGTCTCGTACACTTTAGCAACATTTCCTGTTACCCCAAAACTATTTGACCAACTCTACTTCAACGCGAACAAGTTTTCCTCCGCCACGTAGCCTCCATCATTTGTTTTACTCTACATTTTTGAAAACCCTAGTATTAAATTTAACCTTTCTGGTATTTATTTTCCATGTTAGCAATGCCGACCTAACCTAGCCGTGTGGTGTTCTATTTGAAATGCAAATTTTGTTTTAGTTGTTGTTGTTTTTTCTACTCTTCATTAACTTCAATGTTATAACCTGACTCTGACAGCCACCCCACCATCAGCCCACCCAACAACACATGAAAACAAAAAAACCATTGAAAATGGCTAAAACAAATTTAGCGCAAATAATATTTTTTTTTGTAGAAATTGTTCAAATGAGAAACTATTTTTACAAGGTAAAACAGAGACGGAGGTACAAGGAGGGAAAAATAAATAAATATAAAAAATCCATGAATAGGCTTTGAAAATTTTCATTAAAAAATCCACACCTATACATAGGCTTCGAAATATGTCATTAAAAAATCCACGCCTATACATAGGCTTCGAAATATGTCATTAAAAAATCCACGCCTATACATAGGCTTCGAAATATGTCATTAAAAAATCCACGCCTATACATAGGCTTCGAAATATGTCATTAAAAAATCCACGCCTATACATAGGCTTCGAAATATGTCATTAAAAAATCCACGCCTATACATAGGCTTCGAAATATGTCATTAAAAAATACACGCCCATACATAGGCTTCGAAATATGTCATTAAAAAATCCACGCCTATACATAGGCTTCGAAATATGTCATTAAAAAATCCACGCCTATACATAGGCTTCGAAATATGTCATTAAAAAATTCAAGCCTATACATAGGGTTGAAAATTAATTTTAAAAAAATCCAAGCCTATAAATGTGTTTAGAAAAATTGGAAAAAATTTTACAAAAACATGCTTCCAAAAGGCGTAGAAAAATGATGTCTAGAAAAAAATATTTGTATACAAACACTCCTATAAATTTGAATTTTTAAACTCCAAATGATTCGAAAACCCCTCCTCATCTACCTATTTCACATTTAGAAAATTTTTTCTTGTGTTGTTAGCTGCCACCACCATCAGTTGAAATGCAAAGTAATTTATGGCTTTAAATTGCACAAAAGGTTTGTCATGTAATTATTTTTTTTTTTACGTATCAAACTCGAACAGAAAAAATTTCCCTGCACGCAAAAAAAATTGGAACATGAAAAGTTCAAAAAGTAAAAAAAAAGAAAACTGCTGCAGTGGAATGTTAAGTTTCAACACTTCTATGTCATGACAAAAAAATCAACAACAAAAATTAGCAAATAAATTAAGTTTGACATTTTGGAAAGAAACCGGGGGCCACCACACAAAACTCCTTTTTTTGGCCAGGCGGAACAAGGCAATACATTAAAGTTGACACTTTAACGTTTTAATTAGTTTGTAAAACAACATCAATAACAGCAGAAATCATTACATAAGAATACGACTTCATTATAGGAATTTTGTGTGTGAGAAAGTAATTGAAAGAAGCTTCATTAATTGTGTAATTTGTACACGAGGTAGGATCACAACTTCATTAAACACATCTTGGTGGAATTTCGACTTCAAGTTTGTGAACTCAATATTTGAAACCATTGCAGGTTTCCAAAAATAGTTCCAAACCTATAAACACAGACACTGAAAAATAAATCTACAGGCTTCGAAAGATATTTCCATGCCTATAAATAGGCTTCGAAAGATATTTATATGCCTATAAATAGGTTTCGAAAGATACTTCCACGCTTGTAAATAGGTCCCAAAAATAAAACCACGCCTACAAGTAGGCTTCGAAAGATATTTCCATGCCTATAAATAGGTCAAAAAAAAAAAAAAAGATATTTCCATGCCTATAAATAGGCTTCGAAAGATACTTCCACGCTTATAAATAGGTTCAAAAAAACCACGCCTATAAGTAGGCTTCGAAAGATATTTCCATGCCTATAAATAGGCCAAAAAAAATCCCCGCCTATTAATAGGCTTCGAACGATATTTTCATGCCTATAAATAGGCCTCGAAAGATACTTCCACGCTTATAAATAGGTCCAAAAAAAATCCACGCCTATAAGTAGGCTTCGAAAGATATTTCCATGCCTATAAATAGGCCAAAAAAATCCCCGCCTATAAGTAGGCCTCGAAAGATATTTCCATGCCTATAAATAGGCTTCGAAATATACTTCCACGCTTATAAATAGGTCCCAAAATAAAGGCACGTCTATAAGGAGGCCTCGAAAATATTTTGAATAAATCCAAGGCTATAAATAGGCTTTAAAAAGGTTTTGAATAAATCCACGCCTATAATTAGGCTTTGAAACATATTTTTTGCAAATCCACACCTGTATGTCGGCTTGAGACATATTTTTAAAAAATCACGCCTATAATAAGGCTTTGTAACATATTTTTAACAAATCCACACCTGTGTGGCGGTGTGGAGACATATTTTTAAAAAATCATGCCTATAATTAGGCTTTGGAACATATTTTTAACAAATCCACACCTGTGTGGCGGATTTGAGGCATATTTTTAATAAATCCACGCCTATAATTAGGCTTTGAGGCATATTTTTTAATAAATCCACGCCTATAATTTGGCTTTGAGGCATTTTTTTAATAAATCCACGCCTATAATTAGGCTTTGAATTTTTTTTAATAAATACACGCCTGTAGATCGGCTTTGAAAACTATTTTTAATAAATCTACGCCTATTAATAGGCTTTGAAAAATATTTTTAATAAATCTACGCCAAATAATAGGCTTTGACAACTATTTTTAATAAATCCACGCCTACAAATTGACTTTGAAAAATAATAAATCCACGTCTGTAACTCGGCTTCAAAAAAATATATATTATATAATATATATATTTATTTTTTATAAATCCAAAGGGTATAAAAATATTTTTCTCCTTTAGAATAGTTAACCTACATGACATAATCTAAAATCATATTTTCGTTCTACTCATGTTCCACATAACCCATTAGCAGAGATAGCCAGACAAACATATATACAAATATATATTCATCTACAAAATTTATTTACCTAAATATTAGTTCAAGTTTATTATTTAAACAAATAACGAAGAAAATGAAAATCATCTGTTCCAAATTTTTGTTTTTGCTTCGATTTTGACACGAGTCTCGGTGATCATCGACGATGCCAAGCTGACTGAAGTAAAACAACAAATTCCAATGAATTTTATGTTATGGTGTCAAAGTATTCAGGGGAAAAATACTTTTCTACGATACCCAACAAATAAAGAAAAAATTATGTAGAACATTTTGAAAATGTTCAAAATTTTTTGTCAACATAAAAATTGTTTGCCATCGAATGTTAATCGAAAGTAAGAAGAAGGGTATTGGTCGGAAGAAAAGAAGCGATATACATATTCTTTTGTGTTCTCAAATATATGCATATATATTTTTTATTTTAATATCTATCATCTTCCGATATATATGTATGCATACATGTTTGTATAGATCATTCATTTGGCAGGTGTTATTTTTAATGTTTTAATACCCCGGCGGCCGCTAATGTTGGTTGACTGCATTTGCCAAAAATTGTGGGTGGATGGGATTTTCATTATGGGGCGGCGGGCGTTTGGTTCGACTTTTTAAGGTGTTATAGGGAAATTGTGTGTGGGATTTTGTAGTAATAGAAATATTTTTCGATTGAAATCATAAAAAATTTTGAGAATGATTAATTAAGACAGTGGAATTTGAAAAAAGGAAAAAAATATTACCAAAATAAAAACAATATTAAAAAGGGATTTAAATATGCAGTTATGGAAGGGAAATAAAATAAATAAAAATATTTTTTAAAGAAAAAAATAGACCCTTTTAATTTCCATAATAAAATAATGAAATAAAAATCCTATAATAATTATTAGAAAATTATTTAAAATTTATTCCGAAAGAAAACTGAAAAAATGACGACAATTTTGCCTCCA